ATAGAATACACATATACATATACATATGGATACACATATACATATACACGTGTATGTGCACGTACACATACACATACAAATACATACACTATTACATATAATATACATATACATACACACACACATATATATATATATATATATATATATATAACAGATAAATTTATTTATATATATGTAAACACTCAAAACTTCAAACACTCAAACCCTAAACGCCCTTTAAGACATCGACCCTGATACTATTCGTCACATAGCTTGTATTTTTCATTGCTTGATAATATGCGTTTCTTTAATTCCTCTCCCATTCTTCATGGCCGCATCAGCCAACAACTGTACACAGACGAGTCAGTGCTCAGCAACATGCCCGCCAACCAATCCATTCTGATGCAATCACGGCTGCAAATGATGCCCACCATCGCTTCAGTAGGGGGTAACTACGAGGAGCCTGAATTAAAGGGCCACCCCGACAGTGAACTATATGGAGAGGCAATAAACGAAGATGAAGACGTTGAAGGCAGTACCTTCAACACTTCACAGCCAGCCGAAACGGGGTCGAGTACTGGGACACACAGCCACTACACTCCACGCGAATCATCCTCGTCAAACGGACCTGCCAAGGGGAAGAAAGGAGGCAGATCAGCCGCGCAGAAGAAGGTATGCACTGGTGACCTGTGGATGTTTGGACTTGTTCGATTGGATTCGTTGCGGGATGTTTGGACCTATCAATTGTTATGTATCAACCTTCACTGTAACCGCATGCCATCTGCCGAGTGGCGATGGATCATTGTGCTCTCGTTCCTCTGCCGCATGCGTTCAGTCGTGTGTGAGGGCACTAGGTTAGCACTCTGTGTGTCTCTAGTCTGTCCCCCATGCTACTTGCGACTTCATGCTTGGTAGGAGGGTTCGAAAATCTCGTCAAGCAGAAGTACGTTTCTGTAGTCGTGTGTGAGGGCACTAGGTTAGCACTCTGTGTGTCTCTAGTCTGCCCCCCATGCTCCTTGCGACTTCATGCTTGGTACGAGGGTTCTAAAATCTCGTCAAGCAGAAGTGCGTTTTCTGTAGTCGTGTGCTCGTGTGATGAATATATCAGACAGCCTCGCACGCAGATCAATGCTGTACCAAAGGGCCCCCAAAACGGGCGCATAAAACAACAATGGGGCCAGCATATGTGTTTTATTAATAGAGCTATCATGTGTATTCTATCAACAGAGCTGTCATGTGTAATATATTAATAAAGCTATCATGTGTATTCTATTTGTAGAGCTATCATGTGTATTCTATCAATATAGCTGTCATGTATACTCTTATCAATAGAGCTATCATGTGTATTCTATTAATAGAACTATCATGTTTATTCTATTTATAGAGCTGTCATGTGTATTCTATTAATAGAGCTATCATGTGTATTCTATAAATAGAGCTGTCAGGTGTTTTCTATTAATACAGATATCAAGTGAATATATCAATAGAGCTATCATGTGTATTTTATTAATAGAGCTATCATGTGTATTCTATTAGTAGAGCTATAATGTGTATTCTATTATTAGAGTTATCATGTGTATTCTATTATTAGAGCTAACACGTGTATTCTATCTTTAGAGCTATCAAGTGTATTCTATCGTTAGAGCTATCAAGTGTATTCTATTTATAGAGCTATTATGTGTATTCTATTGATAGAGTTATTATGTGTATTGTATTCATAGAGCTATCAGGTGTATTCTATCTTTAGAGCTATCATGTGTATTCTATTATTAGAGCTATCATGTGTATTCTATCTTTAGAGCTAACACGTGTATTCTATCTTTAGAGCTATCAAGTGTATTCTATCGTTAGAGCTATCAAGTGTATTCTATTTATAGAGCTATTATGTGTATTCTATTGATAGAGTTATTATGTGTATTGTATTCATAGAGCTATCAGGTGTATTCTATCTTTAGAGCTATCATGTGTATTCTATTATTAGAGCTATCATGTGTATTCTATCTTTAGAGCTAACACGTGTATTCTATCTTTAGAGCTATCAAGTGTATTCTATCTTTAGAGCTAACACGTGTATTATATCTTTAGAGCTATCAAGTGTATTCTATCTTTAGAGCTATCATGTGTATTCTATTATTAGAGCTATCACGTGTATTCTATCTTTAGAGCTATCAAGTGTATTCTATCTTTAGAGCTAACACGTGTATTCTATCTTTAGAGCTATCAAGTGTATTCTAATTTTAGAGCTATCATGTGTATTCTGTTAATCGAGCTATCATGTGTATTCTATCTTTAGAGCTATCATGTGTATTCTATCAATAGAGCTATCATGCGTATTCTATTGATAGAGTTGTCATGTGTATTCTATTAATAGAGCTATCATGTTTGTCCTATCAATATATCTATCATTTGTATTCTATTAATAGAGTCATCATATATTTTCTATTCTAATAGAGCTATCATGCGTATTCTATTGATAGAGTTGTCATGTGTATTCTATTAATAGAGCTATCATGTTTGTCCTATTAATAGATCTATCATTTGTATTCTATTAATAGAGTCATCATATATTTTCTATTCTAATAGAGCTATTATGTTTGTTCTATTACTAGCTCTATCATGTGTATTCTATTCATACCATCATATGTATTCTATGAATATAGCTATCATGTGTATCCTATGTTTTTACAAAGCCTCCGAGTGCAGTTAAATTCATACGAAGGTATGGTACTATTCACTGATCAAACACGCGTTTTTTCACATGCACGCATATTACCACAAACTCGTAGCCATACTTTGTGCCATATACTTTTGTACAGTGCAAACTGTTGATGGGCTAATTTTGCTATTTTTCCCGATCAATTCTGTGCTTGCTCTGCCGATTTTCTTGTTTGGATACACATGCGCTTTCTCACGCGGCTACCATTTCTTCTTCGCATCTCCGTAGGTTGTCATCCGGAAGGCGACCAAGAATGACGAATCGAATACCAACAATCATTCAAATTCTCAATCGCCCCCTCAACAGTACGACACCAAAAAGTACGGGGATTAAATCAGGTCAAAAATGATGCAATTTAATACTCGTATCGTCCTTGTTGTTCCTAATTTAGTAAGCAGGTGTAGCGGTGGATGCGAGTACGACTGATCACAGCCAATATACAGGATTCAGTTGCCCCAATATCGTCCCAACTGTAATGAGGTGCACGATCCGGTCTAGTTGTCTAAACACGCAATCGTCAGAGACAGCCACTGCCTGTGCTATGTGCACTACCATTCCGCATTGCCTGTGCCCGGTGATTGCTGCAGGGCACCTGCATGCGTGTGTACGGTCGGATAGGGTATACACATCGATCTATAGACGTGTGTGTGTCAGCCCGAGGCAGTATACGGAGCATGTGAGGCTCTCCAGTTGCAAGGTATCGCTGATACGAAGCAACCCATTATCTGCATAGCTTTTACACTGTTGAGTATTGCGCATCCTTCGACACACCCCATAGTGTACCCGCTTGGACGCGTCCTAAACGTCAGGGTATATTAGTGGTACGCGCCTGAAGTCTGGCATCACAGCGGCGAAGCGTAGAAGATCGCTGGTGTGTATTCACCACCTAACAGTTGGCACAGACACGAGCGTTGGCCTTGCCCATCATCGCAGAAATAAACTATCTTGTATCCGGCACCGAGTATTAACAATCGCATCAGAACTTTGTCAATAGTTGACTATGTTATGTACTTTCGAATGATCGACTAGAATGCATGTCCATCTTCATTCGTAGTTAGTTGACTATGTACTTAAGGATGATTGACAAGGGTTTACGTCCATTTATCACGAATAGATATGGACATGTATACTTGTCAATGTACTTAAGGACGATTGACAAGGATGTATGCCCATCACGAAGAAATATGGACATATATTCTTGACAATGTATTTAATGATGATTGACAAGGGTTTACGTCTATTGATTACGAACAGATATGTACATACATCCTTAGTCAATGTACTTAAGGATGATTGACAAGGGTTTACGTCCATTGATAACGAATAGATATGTACATACATCCTTAGTCAATGTACTTAAGGATGATTGACAAGGGTTTACGTCCATTGATTACCAATAAATATGTACATATATCCTTGTAGATGTACTTGAAGGATGATTGGCAAGGATGTATATCTATATATCACGAATTAATATGGACATACGTCCTTAAAAATGTATTTGAGGATGATTGACAAAGATACATGTCTATATTTATTCGTAATTTGTTGACTATGTACTTCAGGATGATCAACAAGGATCGATGTCCGTACTGTGATGTCATTCGAGAAGACGAAGGAGAAGAAGAAAGTATATGCACGCACACAAGCAAGGGTTATTTCGCTTTTCGGTGTTAGAATTACAAATTGCAAGCTGTCTCTCCTTATCAATTTGAATAGCAATCTTTTAGAGTCATAGCGCTGTGCAGCTAGCCTAAATCTCTGTTCGCATAGACACAAAAGGATCCGTTGCACGAACACAGGATATGCACTACCTTTTCACATTGCTCGTCTATTGAAATCTGGACACGAAAAACGTGCATTGTACAAAACTATCTTATTATCCCAAAAAAGAATACGCGTTGGGTTGTTTTGGGGTAAAAACTGAACGCCCCCCCCCCTTGGTTGTGGTACTCGCACATTGGTTACCGTAATAGTCGCATTGAATTTGGCCGTGATTGTGCTAGTCGGTTTATCCAAGTAACAGGAATATGCGTATGTGTTGCCAATACGATCGGACGAGTACAAAATAACAGACAATACCTCCCAGTTCCCCGCCTGCAAACTGTAAATATATGTGAAATCTGGGTTGCTAGTTATCATCCCTTATCATTCAAATTATTATCCAGAAGTTATAGATACCATCCTGATTATTTTCGTTACTGTCCCGATTTTATTTTCTTTCCACCGAGTACTTCCGCAGACGGAGATTTGGGGTCGACTGTTTCCTTTCCTATTTGGTGTATGCACAATCTTATATACATTTTGGGCCATTTGGGATCGTCAATCGAAGTTCAGCAGGGAGTGCTGACGAAACCATCGCCCAAACATCATTCTTAAAACACTACTCCTAATAATCATTCGGATGGTCTCAAGATTCCTGGATGATCTTCTTCCACACCTGAGCAAACGAGAATGGCCATATGTGTAGGTTAGCCTTCGATAATAGTGCGAAATGAACCCGACATTAGAAGAAACCAAACTAAGAGCCTGGTTGCACAAATGTAAACAATTGCGCTTAGGATCAGCGTTCGCAATATTAAACGATATAACCTTAACAATCCTACACTGAACAAATTTATCCTACGTCAAGCCAATTTGCTCTTCCATTTGCATATGTCAATGATATGAAATTACAATTATGGTTCCGTACATAACAGGGAAACACTATCTCAACACCAAACTTGATCTAATAATCGGTGTGGCTTTGTACATAAACAGGGAAACACTATATCAACACCAAACTTGATCTAATAATCGGTGTGGCTTTGTACATAAACAGAGAAACACCATCTCAACTCCAAACTTGACCTAATAAGAAAATCTGGCATTCAATTCGGGATCTAACATCTGGAACAATCGGTATCAAATTCTTGACATAACATAATGACTGGCATCCAATTCTTAATCTAACATATAAAACAACTGGCACCTATTAATTGATCCGACAAAGAAAGCATCATCCCATTCTTGACCTGGATATCCAAATAACTTACATCCAATTCTTGGTCGTTCTTCGCCTCGATCAGCCATTTGCCAACCGGTCGGCCGCCATCCAGCATGAATCGCGGAGGGGCACGTCGACCCCTCTTAGCGTCAGATCTTTATGTTGTCCAGAAGTGCATTTTTTTTTTTGTACAATTAGGGAATTCAAAAATAATAGGATAGAAGTGGATTCGCAAATGGAATCATGTCATGAATATTAGGAATGGCTTTCATTTTTCTATGTGGGCTTAGTGAGCAGGACTTGTCTGTAAAGGCCAATGAGACTGGATTAATAATACAGTAAATTTGTATCAACTTCCTAGCGGCCTGTACTCGGAATTAAAAGGTCGGATATTGGAATGAGACTCTCAATGTGAGATGTAGGAAAGCAAACCACCAAACGTATCGGGTGTATACCATCAAACGTACATCATTAAAAGTATAATTCCGACTTACGCAACATCGTGGATACTCGCGTCTTTCAGTACGACGGACATTCGGGGGTTCTTCTTTGCATTGTAATCCGTCTGTGAGCGGAACACCAGCAAAACGCCTTTTTCCACTACGCACCATCGGGGTTTCCATAGCTGCCAATTAAGAAAGAATGTGTGATATAAGTGCGAAATATACCTTTGGATAGATGCATGTATGATACTTGCGTTTTGTCCCTTTTGCACAAACACAACAGATCCGGACACATATTTACGAATGTACACTATTAGTATGTACGATACTTACGTTTTGTCCCTTTAGCACAGACACAACAGATCCGGACATCTGTTTGACAAATAGGTCTCCGCTCTTCTCGGACCTCTTTTTCGCCATCTCCTTCGCAAAGACCTCGTCACGACTCTTCAGCACCTTCGCCAGACGCTTCAGATACATCTGATTATAGAACGGATGAGTTTTGATTTGGTTAAAATTACCTTTTTTCAATATCTGCGTAAATTTTGACTGTATATAGCTATTGAAATGAAATTTTGATTGAAAATTCATTAAAACACTTTCAAATCGTCATATATCGGCATATCTACTAATAGAACACTTTGTACCAATTTGAATTCAGATCTTGATTTGTTTGGACACGCTGGGATGCACTAACACGATGCCCGCTACCCATCCAACCATACTTCACCCACCCGGACCTTCATGGCTCCCTTGGTAGCGATTAGGAACTCTGTATCTACCCTCTCACACTTACTTGTACACCACTTTATCATTACAATGCGCCACGGCACATGTGCACACACGCACAACCATTCATCTGATACACTTACACGCACTTGACGTTGGTTCAAAGCGATCGACTTTGCCTTACTATTATCCAACCAGAAACAATTCTTTGCTGATAGTCCAGCTACGGTCCGAATCCACACTCTCGAGCGTATGCAAGGGTATCAATACATGGGACCAGCGCACGCACTCGTACATTACTCACCTGAATCTTGACGTTGCTCTTGGCCGCAATCAGGAACTCCTCCTTGCTAATATTACCGCTGTGGTCCGTGTCCACACTCTCAAACTCAGACTCCAGCCACAGGTCATTCGGCACATCTTCTCCCAATGTTTTGAGAATGGCTCTGATCATCATTTTGTATTCGTCCAATTCTATGGTGCCCGATTTGTCCGCGTCGAATATTTGGTACGCTAGCAGCAGTGTCTTGGTGTGGTCGGCATCGTCTTCCACCACGATCTTGGTGGCCAGACCTATGTGCGAGTAAACGATTGTGTGTGTGAGTGATTATATATATATATATACATATAACAAAAAAAATATGTGCATGTGTTTTCGTGTGCGAGTGTGTACACGTATATTTGTATGCGAGTATGTGTGCGTAGGTAACTTGAGATAAGTGACTGTGATGTGTGTTTGCGAGAGATTCTGAGAAATCTACAAAGCTACAGTGCAGAACACTGGTGCATCTATAGACGTACCGATACAATATAGCCTAATTAGTACGCTTATTGGTAGACTTTCGAACACAAAGCAGACTTGATAAACATTGTATCTACCAACACATCTACTAACACAACACTCAAGACATACCAATGCAGAACTCCCGTGTATCTATGTACTGAGGCATATCATCCAGCTTGAAGCTGTCAAACAATTCTCGCGCAACGTTCTCCTCGGGAATCTCCATCACCTTGTTGAACACACTGAAGAACTGCTTCTGATCTGCCAGGAACTGGCTGTTGGTTTCTTTGGCAAACTGGTCGTGCATCTCTAGCAGATTCTCCGTGGTGACATTGTATTCACTTACCTACAGAGATACAGAGTGCAATGATTTTAGAGAGATATCGCAACCAGAGCTTGTATATGGGTGACTTTTGCATTGCATTTCTATTTTGAGATATTTTGAATTAAAAAGCTACGAGCAAGAACGACTTCGCAGGATACCAAGGGATTATATATATGTGTATATATATATATACATACATACATACATGCATGTAGACACAGATATTCAAATAGGCTGTGAGACTATCTTCAGGTCAGATCTACCAAAATATAGCGATATATTTCAAAGTACATAGCAAAATACACACCTACAAGCTAAAATGTATTCGTATACGTATACGAATAAGTATATATACAGATACAGATACATATATTCATATACAAACATACTTACACACACACACACATATATATATATGTATAACATACTCGAAGAAGAATCTGCTCGGTGGAGAAGGCTCTGAGAATAGCAGCCAGTCGATTGGTTGCCATGAGTGCCTTGACTCCGGCTCTGAATTTGCGGCGTGCATTCATTCTCTTGAGGTTGCTGATGGTACCTCTGATTTCGGCTGTGCTGGCCAACTCCCCAGTCATCCAAGGGTGGCGGAGTAGTTCTATTTATAGATAGAGTTGTTTGGAGCGTGAGAGTGAGTCAGTGTATGATGATCCTGATGTTGACATCCGCTTATCGTAGGTAGCAGAGTAACAAAAAAAATGAAGCATGTAGATACAGAGTGAGCACTCCCCCCATACAAATACCACGACATACATCAAGACAGCGGATGTGTAGAGAATACCACAATATTGAAAGGTGCATACCGTCCATGTACAATATACTGCACTATGTGAATAGACGAATGTAAATGTGTTCAAAGTGCTACAATAACTATGTAGACATGATAAATATAATACATACATACATACATATATATATATATATATATATATGTATCGACGGCGTACCATGACCATTCTATTATTTTAGACTTACCAAACGCGCACACATGCTGCAATAAGAATGTAGACGTACAAAATGCATACAATCAATCTATGACTGACCGAATGCACAAAAAGTATCAAACACCTACTTTAGTAATAGACTTACCGGAGGCGGTGGGACGCTTGCTGGGGTCTTTGTTAAGTAGCTGATTCTTGATAAGATCGATGCATGGCATAGACACATTTTGGAACTCAACGCCAAACTCGGGCTCGTTGGGGTCTGTGGCACACTTTCTGATCTCGTCATCTATAAACAAATTAAACAATGCAGAGATTGGATTGTTGAATTGGGTGTGGAAGGTTTGAATAGACAACATACGGCGCTCAGAGTATAAAAAAATACACTTTGCAATTATACTACGTACATGTATCAACGTTTAGATACACATCAATTAATTAGATACCTACAATTGTCTTCGTAGAAGGTGAATGTACCGGTCACAAGCACAAGGATCATTGATCCGAGACACCAGACGTCTGAGTTCTCGTCGCGCACACACATGCAGAATATAATAATAGTAATAACAACAACAACAACAACAACAACAACAACAACAACAACAACAACAACAACAACAACAACAACAACAACAACAACAACAACAACAACAACAACAACAACAACAACAACAACAACAACAACAACAACAACAACAACAACAATATATATAATTAAATATAATAATATATATATAGACGTCTATAACTACAGACACATACCGTTATCTCCGTAGAAAGGGAATGTACCGGCCACGAGGATAAACATGATCACACCAATGGACCAGATGTCCGATTTCTCGTCGTACGGGCGGCGGCACAGACGCTCAGGGGCCATGTAGTTGGGGGTACCGCAAGTCTCTTTGAGCTTCTGTCCCGGTGTGAATGGAACGGCCAAGCCAAAGTCAGCCACCTTGATAGGCTTATCAGTCAAACTCTGCTTTCGTCCCAGAGACGACTCGTCACTGACCAGCACATTCTCGGGCTTGAGATCTCGGTGGATATAGCCCATTTTGTGACAGTGTTCGACGGCGCTGACTAATTGACTGTGCAACAGAGTGAGGAAATGGTACTTTAGCAGAAGACACAGGTGAAGCCATGTACGCTTATGCATACTGAATTATCGACATGTGATAAAAAGACGTGTGTGCCAATACTGTTTGTAGCACCAAGTATAAAAGTGTCTCAAATGAATGCCACGGAAATATTTATATACAGCTCCAAAAGATTGCACACATGAAAAACTTTCCAATGCTCACAAAATATAAAACAATCTGGACATGTATATATATACACACACAAACACAAACATAAACACACACACACATATATATATATATATATAAACTATTCTAATGTTTACATATAGAAAAATCAATCAATATTAAGCTTGTGGGACTTAAAGGACACATGTGCGCTCTAAACATATGATCAATCTACGGTATGACAGATACATGTGATTAATGCCTGCGGCCTAGCCCTGTACATCAATACATTTAACAGTCCCACATTCTTTGATACAATACAGGACATCGACAATCATAAAAACCCAAAGTCAACAATATGTTTATACACTAAACTAGCAAATTACCGTAAGATCAAAGCCACTTCAGCCTCAGAGTATGCGCAGGCACCTCTCTCAACACGCTTGATGAGGATATCGAGCAATTCACCACCCTCCATATATTCAAGCACAATCATGTAGAACTTCTTGTTCTCGTACAAACCCAGGAAAGCGTTGATATTGGAATGTCTGCCCAGAGATCTGCGGTGGTGGGAGGTAAGTACAGTGGGTGTGGATATGGGTGTGTGTAGATTTTTACAGTGTGTTTGCATTCATATCTGTACATACTACTTGCGCAAGAGATATTCTACAACGACGAAGGTGTATCGGTGAATCAAAATACACACACTACACACACACACACACACACACACACACACACACACGTATATATATATTAAACAACAAACATACCTGAGCAACCGGCACTCTTGTTCAAGGTTCATGTCGGTGAAGGCACGCTTCTTTTCAATGTACTTGATGGCTGCCTCGCCACCAGTGGTCTTGTCCACAGCATGTCGCACTGTTGAGTATGCACCCTATTCAAGAGATATCAATATGACGCTATCAACGACTGATACAAAATGTTGCGCATTCAGCACAGTCTAATAGAACCCTGAAATTACATAAAATACTGTCATAGACTGGTGTCGAGAGTTGCGAATACAGCAAAACTGAGTATATATATATATATATATATACATATACATATATACATATATATAGACACAGATACACAGACACACATAATATATACATACATACATACATACATACATATATATATAAATATATATATATATATATAAAAGCGCACATGTTTTAATTGATATTGCAAATACGCTTAAACGTGCTAGTCGAAATAGTAACCTCGAGCACTAAAAGGCTTACATAAATAATTACAGCTTCAATGTTTCGTGTGTCGCAGAATTTGTTGGTACGACTACTATGGACATTTGGAAAACCGATTTAAGAATATAATCATATTACCGCTTTGATCTTTCTTGCTCAACTGCCTTAAAATCATGTCTAAAATATGAATTTGTTTTTCGAAGTCACTTTGATGCGATACATTCTACTTTACAATTCTAACCTTAACTCACGCAACCCATCTTTCGAAATATCTGTAGCTATGCACACGTATATAGCAGGGCTGAAAGCCTACTAATAGACTTAGAAAAACCACATGCAAGATGAACAAACGCAGACTGTACACTTACCTGTCCCAAGACTTTGCCGACAGTGAATCGGTCCTCCAACTCCCCGTGAACGAGAAGATCCGACAGATCTGCATTAGCCGCCATTATATACGATTGTGAATGCTTGTATATAGGCTCTAGTTGAGTATCTATAGACTATAAGGACCGAAGGAAATATCTGATATCTTTTTGAGTAGTTGTGCTTGTGCTATTACAGATGGTATTTACATCTCCGGTAGTATGTCACTTTAAGAATAAATAGTCATATGTAAAATGCACCGAATGAAGCGACATTGTTGTTGTGATGTGATGTTTTTTGGCTGAGTTTTTAGTAGGATTTGGGACTTGAGACTTGGCAGTCTGGACTCTGGAGTCTGGAGTCTGGAGGGATCACTTTGGTATATTTCGCCCCAAAAAACCCCCCACATACTTTCGAAATTATTAAAAGAGTTAAAATAAAATCAGACAGACCTAATTTTAGACAACTATTTTGAATCCTCTGATACTTTCAGGCTTCAGCAATATCGCGAGTCTGCGAGAGATGAAGCCACACGAAGAGGTGACAAATAAATATACGACAAAGAATATGTAGTTTAATTTTAAAATAACAACAAAAACTAGAACTATTTCCGTAGTATTTTTATAAATACGCTTTTATAAATACGCTCCATAAGGTGAAAGTGTTCGGTTAAACGCAACCAATCATTAGTTGTGTATAGTTTAAAAAAATATTTTTAGTGATTCTAAAAATCACAAGAGCATAGCGGCAATCATAACCTGTCCTCTAAATAGCCTTCGAAGTGAAAATGAAGGATACGCTCTATGCTAAAAATCATACATAGCCTCCTAAAAATTGAACAAAAAAATATTGAAAAAAAAAATCCATGACGAACGATTTTCCTGAGTTTTGGGTTTTACATTCACGTGCAACTTTTTGCTGCGTTTTTTGTCTACCTGTTGATGTAAGTAGTTCACAGCCTCGATATGTGCACTGATGTTCTTTCATACCAGTTCTACAACACGACATAAACGTTTGTGCATACGTACGTCAAACACAATGGATGGTAAATTAGAGGCTTTCACGTTGTGGATGCGTGAGAATGGAGTCTGGTGGGATGAGTCTGCACTTACGGTAAACATTTCGGGTTGATTGCCCACAATATATTGATTATTATGGTGGCGTACTTTTCAAATACTTCTTTATATATATATATATATATATATATATATATATATATATATATATATATATATATATATATATATATATATATATAATATATATATATATATATATATATATATATATATATATATATATATATATAT